TCACCACTCCTTGGGGTCCTCTGGAAACAGGCAAGACCTGAGCGCAGGGGCAGAACGAAGCTCCAGACTGCCTCCCACTCCTCCTAACCTAGGCCTGGTTAGATGTACCTTGTTTGATTGGATGTACTAAGAGTTCTGAGATGAGACACGCCCATATTTGAGTCTGCCACAAGTAGAAATCATTTTCCACTTATTCATTTCCAGGATTACCCAAGTTTCTGCTCTTTTCATAATGGTAGAAACTCCTGAATAGACTACAATTCAAAGCAAGTATTGTTCTCTGACTGTCAAGGTGCCCTGTTATTCTTTTCATAAATATCCTAGGTGATCTGAGCCCAGTTCTACATAGTCTTTTTCCCAGCCCTGTGCCTTTTCACCTGCTAATTTATAGCATTTAAATAAAAAAAAGAATGCCCAATTTGCCCCCGTTGCTAACATGATATACTATATGCTTGAATTTTAATTGCCCTTTAATTATATCCTCAGCCAGGTCTGCACAGATAAAGTGGGAATTAGACTTCACTGCAAAGCCTGAAAAGGCCTCGCTGATGCAGGAAGAAGACACTTTCCCTGTGACCAGAAGAACGAAAAAGCAAAATGAGAGGTGCTCAGGGGATGCCCTGAGCCAACCAAACAATGCACTGAGGAAGCATTTTCTGTCCAGGACTCTGTGAACTGCAAAGCCGGCGGTCCCTCAATAGTTTGATGTTCGGCTAAGGTTGGCTGGAAATGCAAGAAAGAAGATGGCTTGTCCATGAATTAAGAAAAGAGCACAGTGATGATGAGAAACATGCTACGATATTTTCTAAATACTTACCAAAGGACACTGGCTATTCAGTGAGAGGAACCAGAGCTGACAGTGAATTCTCCTGCCCACATCCTCTGTTCTCCCCTGGCCGCCATCTCCCTCCCCAAAGCCAGGAGATCATTCCCTCCTAGGGTTGCCAGAGGAAAGAGTCCTCTCTGTGATAACACCAGCAAGTGCTACAGAATGATTCTGCTACAGTGATCACTACTTGTGCTCTTTCTCCTCAAACTGCTTCTCTAAAATAAAGGAGCCGGTGAGATAGCTCAGCAGTCTAAAGTGCCTGCTTAGGCAAGCAGGGCCCGAGGTTCAGTCCCTGGCACCACATGCCATGCCAGCCCCGCCCCCAGGGTGGGCTGAGCCACCTGCAAAAAAGAAATAAAATAAAATAAAGTAAAGGATTAACCAAAGATCTGTCCATAAAAACCAACTGAGTCAATACAAACTACTTGAAGGAGAAAATGCCTCTTCAAATTATCCTCAGTCTTCCAGTTTTGGTCTGTAAAAATTTGCGCTCTTTCAGAGCCCAGTGTTATCTATGGACTTTCCTACCTGGTCTCATTATAAAATCAAATTTCTCCTGAGCACAATTATTTTTCCTCCTGATCCTGTCAGGCCAATTGGCAAATGTTAACTTGCCAGTCTGAAGTTACAAAATAAATAAATAAACATTATAGATAATGAAGAAATTATTCGATACCACTTCAAACCTCTTCCCGATCATGTTTTCTACCTTTTCAGGTCTTACATAGAGAGGAAAATTTTGCATTTGATTTTGAAATTTCAAACAACATTCTCTTAAAAATGATTTGGTGATTAGGTTTAGATTAAAACAGACTTCAGACAGTCCTAGAAGTCCCCAAAAGTCCTTCTCTACTCTCCCTAGAAAAGCTAATAATTATTTGTCTTAAAATTCATACTTATCTCTGTAGATACATGCCCTTTCTGTAAAAATGCATATCCACCTGTACACCTACCAAGCAAGGAAAAGCTTACAGTTCAGCCTAATGCTCACAAATGTCTTCTCGTCTGCATATCATGAATACCCCCCTTTTTTTTAAAAAAGCTTTCACTGAAAGTGCTGGATGATAAAGTACACCTTCCTAATCTCCTCAAAGGGAAAAGAAAGCCTTTTGGTGGTTCAGTTAGGCAGAACTTCAGGAAATAAACCATCCTGACCTTGAGAGATGGAGGAAGAGATAGGAAGACAAGGGGCTCAGGCAGTGAGTACGGAAGGCACGTCAGCCACCAGGTAAACTGTGAGGGCTTGCTGTTCAGTCTTAACAGTACAAATGGAAGGCTAGACTTGGTGACCTCTAAGGTCCCTTCCAACTCTTAACAGTGTTTGTCTCATGAATTTTTTATAGACATCCTCTGTCCTATCACGCTGTCCCGATGCATCATCAAGCCCTCTTGGCCATTTCCAGGGCTGAAAGGAAATTTTGTTTTGAAAAAAAATACATAAATAAATCTATGCTTTGATCACTGCCAAAATTACAATTCTGTCCTTGAAACAATGACCTGAAAGTAATGGATGAGGCTAAAAAACCTCGGAGCAAATGAATGTCTAATACTATCTTTATACACAATATTTTTTAAGCTTCCCTGATTTAAATAGAATAACTACCCAAAGGCCCAGGGACAAAGACAGTGAGGCTAAAAGACAGAGCTCCAACCAAATCTTTGTAACTTGTACTCCCACATCCCCTGCTGCGTGCCTAACCTTCAAAAGACAGTGGAAGCAAACAGCCGACCTTGAGCCCTGGTCCCACCTCTCATCTGCTGTGTGATGTGAGACAAGTTATTTAATTCCCCGAACCCGTTTCCTCACTTTTAAAATGCTGATAGTATGAGCTCCCTTGCATAATAACTGTGACAAGCAGGATAATATAAAGAAAATAATGAGCCTTCAACTATCATCTCTTTCCTCCTTCATTCCACAAAGATGAACTGAGGACCCACAGCCAGCCAGGTGCCCAGCTAGGCAATGCTACATAAAAAGTAGACTCGATGGATGCCATTATTATTTCTATTTACCCCAAACCATCTGCTACCGGAGCTATGACAGACTCCAAACTTTCACCCACACCTTGCTGGCCTAAAATAGTCATTTTATGTTGCCAAATATGATCCCAAATGAGGGTCTGCCTTCTGCCCTGCCTTCACCCCTGAAGCTACTTATCGAGCAGGTGTTCGCTGCAATGGGACACCTTCAGAGCACTTAGAGGCATCGACTACTGGAGCAAAAGGTGGTATCCCAGCTCCCTGCTGGGCAAGCCACTCAGGAAAACTTGATATGCCTGTGCTGCGAGGCCAGGCCCGGATGCCTGGGAGTTTTCAGGTGCTTTCAATTCCACAAGCGGACTGTGTCTTCCGAGAACTCAAGATTAACAGGACCTCCTCTGTCCCAACCATTGCCACCGGGCCACTGATAAAGTGCAACAGCTGAAGATCAAGATTATTATTTTCATAATACAGTAAGTCCTCGATTTACCAACTTTTGAGTTGTGAGCTCTCACAGGTGTGCTGTTTAAGATTCACAAGTGTACTGTGTAAGACTCACTTTGTTGGATCACAAGCAAAGCCAAGATAGGAGTGTTCTCCCAGAACAAATTCGCTTGTAAGTCAGGGACTTACTATAAAGGGTTTATGTCTTTTACTGGTGCTTTCCGCTAGAGTTTGATAAAATCCTGTATAAACAACCCACCTCTGAAGAAGAAAAAAACAAAAACAAAAACAAAAACAAAAACAAAAAAAAAAAACCCACCTCTGGAGTTGCTGTTTTCAAGGCTGATTGGGCTCTTCTGTTTTAGGCTTAGTATTCCTTTCAATAGCTAACCCACAAACCTCTGATTTAAGCACAGGCCTATCTCTGTAGGGTGCTGGGAATTCAGTACACTTTAACAAAACAGTTTGCACCTATAAAAGTTTCCCATGGCATCCTGAAACGCAGAACTCCTAGCAAAAGAGCAAAAGTCTGACCCTAGAACAGATTTCCATGTGTCCTCAGTCACGGTGGGAGAAGAGGTGTCAAGGAGAGAATTCTAGAGCTCAAATCAGATGGATCCGTGAAGCTACAGATAGCTTAGCAGACAGTTCAGATGGGCCTAGAATTTTTATACACTTATGGGAATCACCTTCCTTAGAAACTGCGGCAGGCATGTGAGTGCCACCAGGGTGAGTTCTGTAGGCTGCTTCCTGTGTGGAGATGACAACCCAGCCTTTCTGCAGAGAAGTTCCCAAGACAAAAGATTCACTATACCCTCAACACAACCAGATGCATCTATAATCTTACCAAAAAAAAAAAAAAAAAAAAAAAAGTGCTTCATTTTCCTTCTGCAAGTTAAGCATGATACTAACTCTTAGCACTTCTAATTACTCACTGTAACAGTAGTTTGGATATTAATAGGCTATAAACCAAGGCCCTACCTGAGGCTAATTGTCATGGAGACAGTATACAAGCCCCTCCAAAGTCTAGGCGAGTTGGTGGGAGAGGGAGATTATGTTACAGCCCTGATAGTTCTCTCCTTTTCTGCTATTTCTTGGGATCCAATTGGTGATGGAGGAGAAATTGGTGGGAAGGGTGAGTGGACAGTGGACCCTGCAGCAGGAAAGGAACGCTCTGGGAGACAGCGCAGAGGAAGGGATCGCGGTCCTTTCCTCTGTGTGCACAGCGGCTGCCCGTGCCCATCGCCCCAGGCCTGGCCCCCTCCGCTGCCCTGTCCTCCCCTCCCCACTGGGCACTGGGCAGCCCGGGAAGCGCGCAGCCAAGTTCCAGAAGGGGATCAGCGCAACCCCGGGGCTGAGGAGCTGGGCAGCGGGGGACGAGCGGAGGTCGGACACGCAAAAGCAGAAACCCTTGGCGCCCAGGCGATGTCCCGGAGGCAGCAGCCGAAAGCCCGCGCCCAGGCGCCCCTCTCTAGGAGCCGGCTGTCCAAGCGAGCGCCCAGCTCGCCGCGCGCCCCAGAAGCCCAAGCCGGGTCCCGCGTCCCGGGGTGATTGTCGCCGCAGCCTCGCGGACCTCCGGGCCCCGCACCCCTCCCGCCTCTACGCCCAACACCAGGAGCAGCGCCCCCGCTTCTCGCGTCCCTCGCACCCCGGGCCCACCGCGCCATGTACCCGCGCCGCGCGCCCCAGCCGCACGCCCCCGTGCCCGGAGCCCCACTCCCCGCCGCGGGGCCCTCTCGCGACTCACCTGCGCGGGGACCCGAGCGGCGGCCACCGGGAGCCCGGGGGCGGCAGCGGCGGCGCAGGGGGAGGAGGGCAGCGTGGGGCTCCTGGCACAGCGGCCGCCGGGCGCCTGGTGCTGCCGAGCCGCGGACCCGCCCAGAGATATAAATAACATTATCTGAGGAGGGACATTCCTGCCGGGGGACATCGCTGCTGCCGGGACCAGATAGTCCCGCGGCGGGGGCGGGAGGCGGGGCCGCAGCCTCCCGCAGCGCCAGGCCCAGCGCCCGCCTTCCCCACCCACTCCTGCGCTCGCCAATCAGCCTCGGAGCCGCGGCACCTGCCCGGCCTCCGCGCGGGCCTCCGGGACCCGGACCCCACCGTGACGCGCGTCCCCGCATCCCTCGCCAGCCCGAATTCCCTGCAACTCGGGCCTAGTTCGTGCGCCCGGGGCGCCAAGCCTGGTGGCAAAGCCCAGCCCTCCAGCATTTCGCGGCCCCACTGCGTCCAGTCCCGTGTTTTGAATGTGCTTAAAGACAGGCTGACGCCGCAGGGTGGGCTCGCCGGCGCCTCGAGGTAGGCCCCCCTGCGGCCGGACCAGGAGCCGGACAGCTTGTTCCCGGGCCCGGGGCGTTGGAAAGCGCGCTCTCGAGCCAGCTCTCCCGGCCGGTGGCGCGAGCAGACGCCGCGAGCGCAGGGGGTGGGCACTGGGCCCGAGGCCCCCGCCCCCACCTGCCGCCTCGGAGGCGCACTTGCAGCCTGAGCGCCCCGCACAGTCCGGGCCAACCGCGTAGTGCCCGCGGCGCGCAGCCTGCAGTCCCACCGCGCTCGCCCACGGCGGGGACCGTAATCAACAGGCAAGCGTCGCACCTGCCCACCTGTGCTTGGGCTACGCCCGGATCTCTGGGAGCGGGCGATGGCTTCCTCACTGCAAGCAGGGGCGGTGTGGGTACGTAGGCCAGAGGAAACGGGAGGACCGATGGTGCCCAAGAGGAACATTACAGCACCTCTGAGTCACCTCGGGAGAGAGACACAGAAGGATACGGGCAGCTTGCAGGGCAGCTCACTTTCTTACAAGGTCACTCGCTGCTCAGGAAGGTTTCCTGAGCACCTTCTTCTTTCTCATCTTCTTTCTCCACCTGCCATTCCTGGCAGGATTTCTGTCCAGGCATCCTCCCAGGTAATCTCTGCTATTATAGAGATACCAGTACAGATTAAAAGAGCACAGATGCAGACGCGTATTAACTTTGACTGATGTTGCTTAGTATTCTTAATGAGGCAACAGCCTTACTCTTGAGTTATTTGCTTGGGAATATAATTATGCTGTTTTCCAGGATTCATCAGGAAAAGGGTGTTTAACTGCCAGATGTTCAGGCTTAGTTTATATATTGAAAGCATGCAAAGACATTTCACTGCCTGCTGCAGGCGCACATCTTGATAGTGAACATTTCCACACTGAGAAGAAATGCGCGGGGCAAACTCCACGGGTGTTGCGAAGGCACAGGACTCTCCAGACCCCCCTGCTCTTGGCTGGCCCCTTTTTGCAGTTCAGTTTCCCAAAAGACCCTAGAAATGTAGGAGAGATGGTACAAGAAGAGCCAGAGTCGTCCATCAACTTAGTAGCGATTCTCTCTGCCCTTTGCTGATAACGTTTAAGAATCCATTTGTAGGGACTGTCTGGTGCTTTGGGGAAGAGCAGGTGCCTAACATGAAGTTCCTGGGTTCAACTCACAGCACCAAAAAAGGAAAAAAAAAATCCATTTGTGAGTATTGAGTTTGAAGCAGGTCTTGCTCATGCAAAATCTTTTAGAACCAAATACTGGCAAGGAAAACTCAAGAAAAACAGGGCAACTTCAAAAGCAGAGACTGTTATGTCTCTCAAGCAGAAATCCTTGACCTATTTTCGAAAGAAAAAAGAGGAAAATTATGTATTTATGTGTTTTAAAAACCTTGTGTGAATAAACTTATTAAATAAATTCATGATTCCCTAGAATTGCGGTTCTGCAGCTACATAATTACATACTACATAAAACAGATAATTCCTTAGCTTTAAGTTTGTGGCCCTGAACTGAATAGTTGCACACATTTTTTTTCTTTGTAGCCTTAAAATTTATAATCTTCAACCACAAGAAAAAATTAATATGTTAAAAGCTCCAGAGCGGCAGACAGATTACCCCAAGATTTTACAAACCAGCTCAGCTGCCTTACTTGTCTCCACTGTAGCTGAAAGCTAAATAATTCAATACAACCTCATTTGCTACAGATCCTGTTATCCTGAAAGCAACCCCGAACGCTTTACAGCTAATAGAGTTACAGTGAAATGATAAATCAGAACTGAGGGAGAGGGGAAGCATAGAGCTAGAGAAAAATAAGATTGTCAAATAAGGGAGGAACACAGGCAGAGCTGGCAGAGGAGCGATGAGAAATTGAAGCAAGTGCAGAGGGAAGAAGGCAAGAGTGACCTTTGGGTCCAGGATGGAGGTCATCGGTGTGGGCAAGAGGGCCCAGTCTGCAGGGACTGCCTCCGAAGTGTAGAGCACCTCTCAGAGCTGGCTGCGTACAGGGTGAACATAGGCCTGTGGCCTCTTTGGTTAAGGTGCTCCCCCTGCGAACAAGCCAACCTGGGGACAGCCTTCACATCTAAGCCCCCCACCAGGCAATCTCAGTTTCAGAAGAGTTCTGGGGCCAGCAGGGGAGGTGTGCTCTGAGTCCACCAGGGACTGGGGAAGCCCTGCTAGAACTGTCTACCCCGTGCCAGCTGACGTCAATAACAGGTGAGGCCAAGAGAATGTGTGTGGACTCCAGAGGATCTAGCATAGCAGAGTACTTTGTTCTCTAAGTTTTTTCACAGTGAGCTCTCATTATTTGATAAGAAGCAACAACAATGAAGGAAATCTTAGGTAAAGGTTGGATGGAGCTGATGCATTGAACACACTACTTAGCTTCTCCTCTACCCTAAATTTCACAAAGATATGTTGCAAAGGGAGCAGAAAACTAAAAGCACAGAGAAATTGGCAGGGGAACAATTTCCAAAAAATGTCTAGGAAATCCTAAACTTTAGAAAAGAGGGAAGGGCCAGGTAGATAGTTGAGCAGTCTAAGTTCTGGCCTGAGTGGCAGGCATAAGGACAGGAGTTAGATCCCTGGTACTACATTCCGTGCAGGCCAGAATCCTGAGCGTGCAGGGCTGGCCCCAAACCCTGGCGTGGTGGCGCATGCCTGCAATCCCACCCTGGGGAGGCTGAGACAGGGAGGATCATTACATGTCTACATAGTGAGACCCTGTAACAAATAAATAAATTAACCAATACTTTTTTTCAAAAAAGAAAAGAGAGATATAATGCACAAAGAAATGAAATCAGAAGATATAAAAACAGGTTCAGGAGAAGAATAGTTTATGGAGCTGTAGACAATTGTCAAAGTATACAGGAAGAGGAGATGGAGGGGCCTCTAGAACAGAATAACTTGCTTAGGAGACTCTTTTCCTTTGCATCTATTAAGTATCAGGTATTTAACCTGTTGGATAAAGAAAGTATTTGGGGTTCTGGGACCTAGAGACAGAGCCCAGGTGTTTGCTGACCTCCAGAAATGAGCGGAGCTTTCTCTTTCTCAGAATAGTATGTCTGGGCTGGACTGACTACAGCCTCTGAAAACAAGCTGAGATCAGCAGAATGGGCGGCACGCTCACTTGCTCACGGGAGACATGATCACACCTGCAAAATCATCACACGCTGCACAGGGACAGGGGAGCAAAACGGCAAAAGAGAACCGCCAGCCTCAGTAGAAGTAACATCAGACGAAACCCAGTCAATAAAGGGAGCAGAAAATAAATTTCAAATGAATTGAATTGTGTTTAGCAAACTTAGGAGGGACGCCTGATTCATGCCAATCTGTGAAAAGGCTTATGTATTTAAAAAGTAATATCTGGGGCCAGGAAGATAGCTCAGTGGAATAAGCGCTTGCCTGGCAAGTGCAAGGTCCTGAGTTTGATTCCTGGTACCACCAAAATAAATAAATAAATAAATAAATAGTAATTTCTGGTGGTGAAAATTCATTAGCTGATAAGCAGAACAAACCAAGTTGAAGAACAGATTAATGGTAGCACAAGTCAAAAAATTTTTCACCAAATGCAACGCAAAAGACAAGGAGACCAGAAGCCCATAAACATGACTGAGAGCCGGAAGGTTCAGATCAAGTTCTGATGTCTGTTTAGTAAACATTACAGAAGGAAAGAAACCAGAGTAGAAGGTAAAAACAATAAGAGGAAAGTAAACTTTTTCAAAGTTGAAGAAAGATACAAATTTTCATATCATAAAATCCTACTGAGTTGAGAACCAAATGAAGATTTTAAAAATATTGCTTGTAGTTTTATGAACAGTTTAGAATTTATGATTTTATTTATAAATTCTAAGACCTTAGGTAAAATTAAATCATAAACCCCAAACCACAAAAAATTATACTACCTTGTTATGCCTTGAGTTAAACTGATTTATTTTAATGAGTCACAGAACCTAAGTGATTTTTTGAAGTAGATAATTATTAACAAATATGTATATATATGTTAGAAAGAAAACTACTTCAAAACATAGATGCTACCAGGGATATAGCTCAGTAACACAGTGCCCACTTGGCAAACACAAGGTCCTGAGTGTGATTTCTGGTACGAAAAACCATAAATGCCAAACCAAACACGCTTGGGGTTCAAATCTCTGCTAACAATAATAAAGGAAAAAAGAAGTTATGATTCCAGCAGGAGCAAGAATTTGGCTGCAATCCTAGACACTGGGAAGAAACGAAAACTTACAATGCATGGAAAATGTCAGATTTGTAGCCAGGGTTCAGGAAACTTTAGTTCCTTCTTTATTTTTATGGTTGAGATACAGCTTAAGATTCACTCTAAGGTGGAATTTCCATTTCACGTCTAGAAACATCTAGAAGCATCATGTCCTCTATGACTTTCAAAGATAAAAGGCTGGGTGAAGTGGGACACATCTGTAATCACAGCTACTCTGGAGGCTGAGACAGGAGGATTACAAGTTCAAGGGCAACTTGGACTGTCTCAAAATAAAAGCAGCTGGAAAGGTAGCTCAGTGTTAGAACTTGCCTGGGTTCAATGTCTAGTTCCAGGTCAAAGAGTGGGACGTGGAGGTAGAAACAAAGAAGCAGTAAGGCTCATTTAAAAAAAACTCCACCATGTGTAGTAGGAGCTGAGAACGAGGCATCAGACTTTCCCCTTCAGATACCTCAACTGTTTCTATAGCCTCCTAACTACTCTGTCATTCTGCACTTTCACTCTCCTTCCGTTCTTTTATCCAGAGTCCAAGTCTACTTTCTGAAAGGGAAATCTGATCATGTCACTCTACTACTTTAAATTACCCAGTGTGTCCCACCCCCACCCCCAGCATTGCCTTGAGGCTAGTCCTCCAGCTCCTAGAGTGGTATCTGACACCCAAGAGGACCCAGAAAAGGGCTGATGAGTGAATGAATGAATGAATGAATGAATGAGTGAATGAATGATTCATAAAAACTAAGAAATTACCATCTTGGAAATCAACCAGGTAAGTAAGTCAAAGTCATTTCTATTTGGCTTAAATATACATATTTGTGACTCCCCCAGGAGAATCAGTTTCCTGTTTATGTTTGAACAAGGTTATAGAGAAGCTAATATTCTCTGAGATGTAATTGGCAATTTTTGTTCCTAATTTCACTACTTTCTCAGCTGCCTTCGAGCATCCATATCTAACTTACTGTCTTTAGCTGAGAAATTGGGTCAATTAAGTAGGTCTTAGGCTCATTTTAATTCCTTTTTCTTTACTTTTATTGTTGAGTTACAGCTTATCACTGTCAGATGAATTTTCCATTTCATGTCTGGAAATACCTAGAAACATCATATCCTCCATGACTTTCAAAGATAAAAGGCTGGGTGAGATGGTGCACATCTGTAATCATGGCTACTCCTGAGGCTGAGACAGGAGGATTGCAAGTTCAAAGGCAACCTGGGCATCGTACCTTATTAATGAGGTATAGCAAACGCAGTCATGATGCAGGTGGTTCATATCTCTGTTAGTTTTCTCCTCTCAATGCCATTATTAGATCTCATCCCTTAGTGATCCTGCTCTAATCCCCGTGTTGCAATATACCCAAATTTTGAGCACACAGGATTAAAAACATAGACTAAAGTGCATCACAAGGAAAGAATTAATGTGGTTTTGACATTACTACTTTACCTTGAGTAAAGGTAGACAATTTAGAATCCCAAAGCCATCGTTCTCTTTCTTCATTAATGTTTACCAAACCAGGAACTCAAATTGAAAGGAGAAAATTAAATTTAAAAGTTAGCTTGTTCAAAATCACTGTTAGTGTTTCTTTGCTAAAGGAAAAAGATGTGAATCCCAGCCTTGTTTCAAGGAAATCTTCAAAGCTATTTTGGACATGAGTCTAACTGTATGTTTCTTTTTATATTGCTCTTAAGACCACTAAGGTAGCAGTTTGATTCCTAAAAACAATCAAGTGAAAGTATAAATTAAAAAAATAGTTGATTAATAAGAAATGACAGCTAACAGTCTAACAAGTCAACCAATTAAACAACTTTGTGTTTATGTACTAATTGTTACCAGCATAAATGGTCTTGCTAATTGCATTTATTAATGTAAGAAGTTAATGAGCAGCATTCAAATCTACAAGTTTTCTTTTCATAATATTAACCAAGACCTTTGGGAAATTTTCAATAAAGTTTGGAGAGATATTGCAATAAAAAAACTCCAGCACAATAAAAGACTCCTGTGAAAATTCATTTCATTTTTCCATTCTGTGGGGTATTTCTGCAGCATCTTAATTTTTTTGTTCAATATTTCTTCAGTGTGTTTAAAGCCTGTAAGAAGCTATAATTCAACTCACACATGATGCATATTTGTAATGCATACTGTACATTTTAGATACACATAATGATACATTCATCATAGGGAATTTGTACCTGTATATATCTTCTTTTTCATTTTGCATTTCAAATATATATATATATATATATATATATATATATATTCTTTTTTCCTTTTTTTTTGTGGTACCTGGGGATTGAACTCATGACCTTGTGCCTGCCAGGCAAGCACTTTTTCCACTGGGCTATCTCCCCGGCCCTCTGTATATATCTTACTGCTTCTTTTTATCCCATTTCTCTCCCCTCCCCAACTCCTCTTTGCCTATTTATGAAAGCTTTGTTTCCATTCTTTCCTTGTATTTTTTTTCTTATCATTCCCCATCCCCCTTCCTTGATCTGTTTCTCATTTGAACATTTTCTTCCCGTTTCCCAGTATCTATTATATATTTCGGTCCTTATTTATAGTGGTCTGATACTTACCAGGCAACAATGATACCATGATCACAAAGGTGGTTTCCCCAAGGCAAGGCTTGTCCATTGCATTCCAGATGTGCCGGCCCCTACAGTTTCCCCAAATGTGGGAAACCCTACTGCACCATTTGTGGTAGTCGGGGACTGCATTCATGTTCTCCTGTATATATAAAAAAAATATGGTCTGAAGTGCATCCTAAATGGATGGTAGAAATATCTCAAAAAATTATCTTTTTTGTTTTGTTTTTGTTTTCTTTCTTTTGTTTTGTTTTCTTTCTTTTCTTTTTTTTTTTTTTTTGAGACAGGGTCTTAGTATGTAGTTGAGATTGTCCTTGGACTGACTGTGTAGTCAGTCCCCCCTCTGGCCTCAAAGTCAGAGTGATACTCTTGCCTGAGTGAGGAGATCACAGGCGTGTGCCATTATGTCTGACAAACTTATCCTTCTTTATGGAAGAGTAGTACTCCATCATATTAAAAAATCACTTTTTCTTTATCCATTCATTGGTTAATGGACATTTGGGCTCTTTCCAATATTTAACTATTACACATTGTGCCACTATAAATATTGGTGTGCATATATTTCTACAACCAGATGCTTTTTAGTTCTTTTGGGAAGATGCCAAAAAGAGAATACCTGGATCAAATGGACCCTCTAGTTTTAGGTTTTTTTGAGGAATCTCCACACTAATTTCCACAGTGGTTATACCAGTCTACACTCCCACCAATGACAGAAAATGTTTCCCTTTTCCCAAAGTCCTGCTAGCATTTGTTATTTGCTGATTTCTTTTCTTTTTCTTTCTTTCTTTTTTTTTTTTTTTTTTTTTTTTTTGCAGAACCAGCGATTGAACTCAGGCCCTTGCACTTGCCAGGGAAGCGCTTAGTCCACTGAGCCGTCTCCCCGGCCCTGATTTCATGATATTACCACATCCCATTCTTCTGGAGTAAGATGGATTCTCAGCATCATTTTGTTTTAATTTTCATCTTCCAAATGACCAGTGATGTTGAACATTTTTTCAAAAATGTACTTGGTTTTTTTACTTATTCATATGAAAAGTGTCTATTTACTGCCCATTTTTTTTATTGGATCTTCAAATTTTGGGAGTCTGATATTTTTAGGTTTTTTTATATACTTTAGATATTAGTCTTTTGTCTGAAGAACAGCTGACAATTTTTCCCCATTCTGTGGGTTGTCTCTTCACCCTATTGGTGGTTTCTTTTACTGTGTACAGGCTTTTTAATAAGATGATGCCCTAGCTATTGGTTTTTTGTGGTATTTTCTGCGAGCTCATGGTACTATGTCATAAACATACTAGTTTTGTTGATGAAATCTTTCGCTATGCCTATGTCTTCAAGAGTTCTACCTAGTCTATCTTCTGGTAGATTTACTGCTTCTGTTTTAGTATGTAGACCTTCAATCCATTTCTATTTTAATTTAGTGCATAGTGAAAGGTCTGGGTCTTGGGACCCAGATGTAGCTCAACAACACAGTGCCTTCCAGGCAAGTGCAAGTTTGTGAGTTTGATTCCCAGTACCAAGAAGAGAGAAAAAAAGAAAAGAAAAAGAAAAAGAAAGATCTGGGTCTAGATTTAATCTAAACATTTGGAAAACCAATTTTTCCAGGATCATTGATTAAATTCTTCCAGTGAAAGTGTTTGGCTCCTTTTTCAAAGATAAGGTGACTGAGTGTGCTTGGAGACATTTCTACATCTTCTAATCTGTTCCATTGGTCCTGAGGTCTTTTTGTTTCTAGTACCATGCTGTTTTTATCATATTAGCTTTGAAGTATAGTTTTAGGTCAGGGATTGTGATGCCACCTGCTCTGCCTTTTGTTGCCCAGAACTACCTTGCCTATTTTATGTTTTTTATGGTTCCAAATAAACTTTAGGATGTTTTTTTCTAATTCTGTGAGATGTGCTATCGGCATTTTGATTGGAAATGCATTAAATCCATATAACAATTCTGAAGATACGATGATTTTCACTATATTGGCTCTTCCTACCCAAGAACAAGAAATACCTACTCATTTTTTTATATACCCTCTGAACACCTTTTTCAGAGTACTATAGCTTTCAATATAAAGGCCTTTTACTTCCCTCATTATGGATTCCTAAGTATTTCTTTTTTTTTTTTTTTTGCATGCTATAGTGAAACATGTTGCTTCCTGAATTTATTGATTTATTTTCTAAATTTGATACAGGGTCTCTATGCAGCTCAGACTTGTAGTGATCCTCCTGTCTAAGCCTCCTCTGTGCTGGGATTACAGGCATGCAGCACCATACCTCAGTTTCAGTGGCCAGGTTGGTGTGGGGCTAGCACGACATGCAGTACCGGAGAGCGCACCCAGATCCTTGCGCTTGCCGGGCAAGCTCTTCGACTGCCGAGCTGTCTCTCAGGCCCCCAACATTTTTTTCTCAATGAATTTGTTATTCATATACAAGAAAGCTGTTGAACTTTGAGTATTGACTTTGTATTCAGCTATGCTACTGAATTTGATTATTAAATCTAGAAATTATTTGGTGGAGTTTTTGGAGTCTGCTATGTAGGGTATCAAAAAATCTACAAATTATGATAACTCAACTTCTTTCTTTCTTTTCCTTACTCTTTTTATTTCTTTCTCTTGTGTGATTGCTTTAGATAATGTGCCCAGAACTATACTGAATAAAAGTGGTGATAGTGGACATCTTTGTATCGTTCCTGATTTTAGAGCGAAAGCATTCAGTTTTTGACCATTTAGTAGGATGTCTGCTATTGGTTTGCCATAGATGACTTTTATCAGTTTGAGATAAAGACCACCTATTATGATTTTATGTAACTTTTTTTTTATCATCAGTGAGTGTTAGTATTTGTCAAATGATTTTTCTGCATCTATTAGATGATCATGTGGCTTCTGTTGGCTCTGTTAATATGGTGCATTACATTTATCGATTTGCACACATTGAAAC